CCTAAAACTAAACCCTGAGGAATGCCACTGGTAAGATACCCATTCTGAAACTGTATCACCTACAGCTTCTTTGATATTTATTTATATTAATAATAAAAACCATAATAAAAATAATTTTAGTAATAACGACAATAATAATAATATTGAAAATAATAAGAATAAAAATAAAATTAAATCAGTTTAGTAAAGATTAAAATACTAAGCCATTTAAACTAGTATTATAAAACAACCAAAAAAAAGGACCAGAAAATAATATCAGCTGATAGAGCTGATCAGATAGAATGTGTTATTTAATAATGTTTTTCTTTAATTGATTTTGTAGAATTTATATAGCCTTAGGTAGGTCGAATTAAAGTTCCAACAAATATCAGTTTTTTCACCTAAAAAATAGAAAAAATACAATAAAGCAGCAAGAAAAAACAACAGCAAACAAAAATGCATGGAACCGTTAGAGAAGAATTTTTGATGAATTTAACAACAAGATGTATATTTTCCTATCATTACAATAAAAACCAATGTATAATAAAAATAATATTAGAAATAAAATTAATAATAAAAAAATAAAAAATCATATAGAAAATGTAAATTGGAAATGACTGTTAAAGATGATATCACTTAAATAATTTATATCTTCAAAATCAATTTTTTTATATTTTAACTTAAATTTATAATAAAAATAATAAAAATGCAACATAGGCAACATCAAGATGTTAAAATTGACTCAAGATATTAAACTTCATATCATCATTGCATGCTAAACTTTATACTTTCTGCAGCTACTCTAATTTTCTAAATAAAGGTCACATGAACTTAGTAATACAACTTTATAACTGAAAACGCCTTCGTGTGATGTAAAGTATTAGGGGAAAAAAAAATTTTTTAAATCTTTTAAAATTAAAGTTTTCTTGTGTTTTTATAATTTTTTAAATTAAAGTTTTTATAAATTTTATAAATTAAAGTTTTCTTGTGTTCTTGTAATTTTTCAGAAGTTAAATTATGTTATATAAAAGCTTAAATTAATTCAAAAGTTAATGTAAAAAAAATATTAAACATATAAAATAACTTTTGTTATCAAAACTTCTTCTTTAATCAAAACTCTATTTTTAATCTGGGCACATGAACTATTTTAAACGTTATTTGAAACTGATGATTGGAGCATTAATTATTTACTGTAAAACTCTGTTATTTTTTTTTTTTTTTTTAAAAAAATGATTTGATTTAAAATTGTTGAAAATAAAAAAAATGCTTTATGTTAAAAAAAATACTTTTATAGCATAAAGTATTTTTTATTTACAAAGTTCATTAAGTGTTATGAAATATAAATTAAAATACTGAAAAAAACACATTGATGAAATGACACATTGATAATTATATTAACTTGATATCATGACCAATACTTATTAATGATTACACATTAATGATTATATTAACTTGATATCCTGACCAATACTTTAAAAGTTCATTAAGTGTTATGAAATACAAATTAAAACACTGAAAAATTAAATTAATAAAATGACACATTGATGGTTACATCAATTTGATATTGTGACCAATTCTCTATGGATTGATATGGTGATCAATACTTTAAAAGTTCTTTTTGAATTAATTCTCCAGTAAGATTAGATACAAGCCATAAATTGATGTATCCATAATATGATTTTAGTTCATGAGAAAAATTCAAAAAATATTCAATGTATTCAAAAATTATGTGTGTTTGAGAGTTTTGGATAGATCTGTACCCTGAAACATAATCTTTAAATTTGCAGGTGGTGAGTTTTGAGAAACCTCTCCAGTTTCAAAGCAACCTTTGACTATATTATCCATTGTTTTTAACGATGATACTAAATGTAGTAACATAAGCAGTTTAATTTTACCAAGGATATCAGCTTAAAGTAGTTTAACTGTGCATTGAAATAGTTTGTGATACGCATTTCCTTTGAAAACCTCACCCTAAACAAAGTGTGACCTAATTTATGTTAAAGATTAAAGTTCAACAATTCTTCTTGTAAAATTATAAACGCCTATAAAAAAAATGGGGATGAGCTTAATAATTTTTTTCTTTATTAAGACTTAATTTAAATTTCAAGTTTTATAATTTTTGAATTCTTAAGAACTTTCTTAACTGTTAAGAATCTCCCTAATTCTTAAGAAACTTAATTTAACCTTAAAATAAGTTTTTATTAAATATTTTTCAGACCACCTGCAGCTTTATTAGGACCCTTGCACCATTAATTAATTTTGAAGAAAATAAAACTTTGAATGTAAAATTTTGTCTCCTTTAAGAAAGAAAGTTGTATAACTGATGTGTGATAAACACGTAGACTTAACTAATAACCTAAGACATTAATAACATAAGTATCTCTATCATGACTTATGCGCAACATATTTCTTTCAGTGATTTTATGTTTTCAGCAATTTAAAGCTTTTTTAAAAATTCTCTTCCTTTTGCTTGTTATAGTATATAATACCTTTATATATGTTATTTATATAATATCTATAGAACTTTAAAAATATTTTCTTTTTTAAAAAGATGTTTCTATTCAGAACACATTTTTTTGAATTAGTTCCAAGTGCTAATCTATTTGATTTCATCTTTGGTCAATTCATGATCTAGCTCATGGTATAAATGTTGCCATACTGAGAACCTGATATTAATATATTTTCTACAAGATGAATGAATTCCTTATTATACTTTCCATTACTTTGCATATGACAAATGTTAATGAAAAAGATAGCTTGTTACCTTAAGTGTATTTCTTTTTTTAATAAAGGAATAACATTTGTACACAACCATAATTTTGAATTACTTCACTTGAATATGATCGATTAAAAATATTTGCCAATGCAGTTGCAACACTATTAGAACACTCTATAATAACTCTTGGGTACACTGTTCTCTTCATTAGCTTCATTAACATTAAATTTACTTTTAAATAACAGTTTCAATATTTATTTTATGAATTTGCAATTGGTAATGATAAAAATAATGATCAAAACTATTTATTGCTTTAGTAATATCCAATGAATATTACTAAAGCAATAACTATATGAATAATTAAGGAGTTTAAAACTCATACTTTTGTTTTGAATGATTTGTTTTTACATTTTTGAGGCTAACATCTCTCTAACTCCCAATCCTGCCATCTTTAATTTTAGAGTAAGCTTTAATGCAAATTTGGAGATAACTCATGTACGCTTAAACTCTCTAATTTATGTTGAAGTGGTGGGTGGTCTACTAAATTAAAAAAATTTTTTCTGTTATTAAAAAATCTAAAATATCTTTTTTGCTTTTTTATTTTCAAGATGGAATATTGGTTTAATTACATTTTGAAATATATATAAACGTAATCAAAGTCATATAAAAACAACTGCGCTCTTTCATTTTTTCCAGTTATTTTACCAACAAAAATTTAGGGGAAATTAAAATCCTTACATAAGAAAACACCTCTTATTTTTTTAATCAATATTATACTGTCAGCTGCTTTAATTGACCTCATAATATGCAATATTATGAGATCAATTAAAGTGACTATATGTTTATTATGTATATTAGTAAATTATATTAATGCAGGTCTATACATGCATGTCACTAACTCCTGTAAAATATATACATACACAAATTTTTTTATTTTTAATGTGTATAGAACGCCAAATTTGTTCAATAAGGTTACTTTGAAGCTCAATATTTGAACTTTTAAAATATTTTTTACTATTAACAATAAATATACACATCCTTTCTATATAAGCAATACCCGCAATTATTTATCCATGTTTTACATACCATAATTATATGTGGTAAACTTCTCTTAACTTCAATTAACTCATTGTATTCATTACTTAACAACATAGCATTTGTGTATCACCATTTTAAATAATTTTTGCATATATTTTTAGTGTAAAAATTTTAATACAACTTTTGCTTTTGTTTATGACCTTTTTTAACTCTAGCTTTTTTAACTCTAGCTCTTTTTTCTTATATCATTTCTAATATTTTGTCAATATTTTCATTATTTTAATTTTCCTCATTTAATATCTTTCATTGTATGTTAAGTCTAGAAATATATAAATATCCTTTTACATTTCCAATATCTTAATTCTTAGGTTTTTTTAAAAATTTTATGAATTTCTCACTTTTTTATATTTAATATAGCAACAAAAAGAGCTTGCACATTCTACTTTATGTAATCTAAAATCCATTTTGCATAAAAATTTCAAATTGAAAAAAAATATATATATCTTTTTTTATTGCAATTATTTTTTAATTTGTAACCAATAATAACAAATCAAACTTTAATTTATTTTACACCTTTATTTTTTGTTTTATTGACAATCATATCAATCATTTGCATTTGCGCTGGTAGTTATTTTTAACAACATTTACTATTTTTCAATACAATTCAATACTTCAGTTGAGTTTCATTCACTAGTTCTTCTGCTTTACATGCTTATGATTACCTAAAGCTAATTAGCTTATGATTACCTAAAAATTAATCAATTAATATATTTTAAATCTTTAAATGAGTTCATAAATTCTGTTGATTGAACATAAACCTTTATGACTCAATGCAATTCTTTAACATTTTCGTTCAACTTTTTAAGGTTAATCATTAAATAGTTAAGCATGCGTAAAACTAAAAAGTAAAAACTGAAATTCATAACTAAAAACTAAAGAGTTTAACTTTATAAACTAAATATAAACTAATTTTTTAATTCTAAATTGATTGAATTATAATTGCCATCACTTAAGTCAAGATGCTGTCACTTAGAGATAGTTTCATCACTTAAGTCAAGATGTTGTCACTTAGAGGTCCGGGTTGCTGCAAAAATTAAGTTTACACCCCAAATAAAGAATTATACTTTTCAAGTTATTATTTTTTTTTTTTTTAATTTTCCTGAGTTACTAGAAACAAGAAAAATAGCAAACTTCAAGTATAACAATGCTGAAAAAACAACATGCTAAATGCTACTGTTTACAAAATAGTAAACAGCATAGTACTTACTGCCGTCTTTTGGAACCTGTGCTTCAAAATAATAAGAACGACTTATGACACCTTTCAAAAGTGCTTCTTTACAATTCTGCAAAGACAATTTTGTTAAAGCATACTTTCCGTTTGCATCTGCAATAAATCCAACAACTTCTCCTTCCTCAAAATGCTCATTTGGGTTCTCTAATGGCCAGTGATATGCAATATCACCATTAGATGTGGAAACTGCACATCCTAATTTCAATTGATCTGCTTGTAGGAACTTAGTTTCAATGTGCTTTGTTACCAATTTTTTGCATTCAATTACTTTTTCATTGTCTATAAATATATTAAACAGAATTAAATAAAAGAACATAAAACAAAAAAACACATACATAAATACTCATTTACTAAATATATAGTATATTTTATACAAGTAATATTTTTTCAATTTATTTTTTTTTTCAACATCTTGACTTCCAACAAGGCTGCAAGCAACCACAATTAGAATTGGAAGTTACTGGAAGAGAAAAGATGAAGTTTATAGAACACGAAAACAATTGACAGACAACTTAAAATATTGCAAATTATATGCATCAGGAAAATAAGCTAATTTCAAAGAGCTGTTGTTCAAAGAAAAAAAAATAGACAAATAAAAATTTTTAGAGCACTAAGGAAGAGTCACAGTAAAAGGATAAGACTTTATGGAATGATGACACAAGAAACATTAGCTCTTTAGAGCAGTGCCCATTAAAGTATTTATAAAAAAAAAAGAAAGAGAAACATTATTACGACAATGTGATAATGGTTGGAGGTTGACCGCAAGAGCAGGTCCAACTATGTTTACAATGCATTTTTGCACTTTGTCTAAAGAGAAAGAGCATCATTGGAAGGTTCACCTCAGATATAAAAACAATCCATACAATGATGGATTTAAGATTTATAAAGATGAAGAATAGAATGCGGAGTAAAAAAGTGGAGAGCACAATGAAGAGATGCAACCTTAGCAGATGCTAATTTTGCAATGGATTTTATATATGATTTCCAAGAAAGATTGGAGGTAAGAGTTAATCTCAGAAGATGAAGGGATGATTCGAGTACATTACCATTCATAAATATAGAAAGATTTAGATTATTTTTATAACGATTGGCTGAAAATAACTGAGTTTTATCAGGATTAAAGTTCACCAGCCACTGAGAGCCTCAGCAGAAGTGGTAGATCCTTTTAAAGTTCAAATGCCCCCTCCAAGCAATCAGAGAGTGTTGACTTCTTTTCAAGACAAGAACATACGGCAGTATCATCAGAAAACAATGCCAACTTAGATGTGAGAAAATCTGTAAGATTATTAATACAAATTAAAAAGAGTATACAGCCAGGGATAGAACCTTTAAGAACCCCTAAGGTTATATAATATGAAGAAGAGTGCTGTCCATTGAGGACAACTTTAATATTACGATTGGAGAGGAAGGGTTCAATAAACTTAAAGATTTTACCTGATACACCGTAAGAAGAAAGCAGATGAGAATACTAGCATGCCAAACTTTGATAAAAGTTTTAGAAATGTCAAGTGCGATTTCCTTGACCTCTCCAAATCTATCTAATATACAAAAAAAAAACCTATCAGTTATTACTGTTAGCAAATCAGCTGTAAAATAAGAAGATCAAAATCCAAATTGATAATCAGAAAGTAAGTTATTAGATTCAAGATGAGAGATTATTAGTTATTAGATTCAAGATGAGAGATTAAGTTTTTATTAATTAAAGCCTCAAAAACCTTGCTTATGATAGGTAGAAGATTAATGGGACGATAAATGGACAAGTCAGATCACTCTCTAGAGTTTTTGAAAATGCTGCTTTCCAGCAGGCTGGAAAACAAGACTCTGATAGGCACTTGTTAAATAGTTTTGAAAGTATACAGCTCCAGAGAACTCTTTTGCAAGACTATAACAGGTATGTTGTCCGGACTACAAGCTGTAGAAGAGTTTAAGTAGGAAATCACTTTAGATACAGAAGCTGGAGTGATAAAAATGTCAAGCAATGGATCAACTTGCTTGTCGGCTATATGTGGTAGGGGTTTGATCAACAGATTTGCCCTCTCCAGATTCTCCAGAAGTCACAAGAGTCTTTTAAAATGAAATACAAGATTTCGTGACCTGAGAATAGGTGGCTTTGGCATTAGACAAAACTTTTTTGCGATGGCTTTTAATAATAGTAAACGAACGTCTGTTCTCTGGGGAATTGTTGTGCTGATAGATATGAAAATACTGGTTTCGATTGAAAATTGCATCAGCACAATGCAAGGGAAACTAAGGAGAAGAGTGAGCCTTGACTTGGAATCAGTGAGAGTGAATAAAAGATTCTGTGCCAGCCTAAATCCAAGAAGTTATCTAAGAAGCACATTTGTCTGCAGGATAAAATAAGATTACTACCCAAGGGCCATCACAAAGAAAATCACAAAAAGAGTCCCACTCAGCTTTAAAATTGTTATAATGATAGGGAGATTCTGATGATGAAGAAAAACGAGATAATAGTTTTAGAAATCAAACCTTGATCAGAAGCAGCTAAGGGTGAATGTGGAGAAACTGAGCACTGACTAGGATCAGAAATAAGAAACAAGTCAAGTAGAGAAGCTAAATGATTCAGATGATCTGGAAAGCGAGTTAGAGAATTGACTTAGAGATTTGAGTTAGAGAATGAGAAAGAAAAATGCTGTGGGCCTTAACGCTTGCAGAGTCACTGACACTAGAGCCAAGCCATTCAGTTTGATGAGCACCAACAACAACAATATTGTATAGTCACCAACAACAACAATATTGGCTTAATGATAAAGAGAGAGGGCTTGATCAATATGAACAAAAATAACATCAAAAAGTGTGCAGTCTTGTAATAAAGAGAGAGCGATATAGAAAAAAGAGAAAGACGATAGAGTAAAGTAGTGCTTAATGAAAGCACATAAAAGAATAGCCTGTGGGTTCAAACCTAGTTTCCTGACTAATAGGTGAATTCTCACAAATGTAAATGCACAGGTCAAACGTGTGAGTATTGGAGTCTTTACAAATTAAAGGAAGATAACCATCAACACAGGGTCACAAGGTCTGGTGAACTTTGTAAGAGATAACACTCAATAGAGAAAAAATTACTTCAAAGACCACAAATATTAGTGAACGATAGATTTAGAAAACTTGGTAGAAATAATGGTTTTTGTAAGTTTTATAGTTTTTGGTACTTTAGTCATTTTTATATTTGTAAAAGAACTTGACTCAAAGCATAGATAGTACTGAATACACAACTTAATAGCCCAAGCAAATGTCTCATTACTAATAATAAACCTTTAGCCATAACAAAGAAAAAATAACCTATAAATGTGGTCTTGACAATGCACACCAAATGTACAAACAAGGACAACATCCTTGCACAAAATGACACTGTTAGTACTTTGATGGTTTACAGCTGTTGATGGAGCTACTACATAGTTTGTGAAACCTGAATACCAGCCGGCCTCAGAATCATAAAACTGAGTTTTAGAGCTGTATCCTCATTAGGAGATAATAGAATGAGTTGCCTAGTCATAAAAACAGAGATACAAGCAAAACTCATGCATAGAATCAATCATGCATTCAACAACCCAAACTGGAAACAATGTATTATATATACATCTGTGGCAGCCTAATAGATGAAGAAGGGGTGCGACATATACATTTATTATTTAAATACAAAATTATGTAAACCAATAGATAAAATGGAATGGCATCTTTTATTTTAATTGTGGTATCAATTAGTAATCCATTTTAAGTCACTTATAAATTCCAGTTTACTAGAAATTTTTGTCAGATTTTGTATAAATTGATCGTCCTTATTTATTAGATAACAAAAGGAAATTAGCATTTATAACATAAGGTTTACAACTAGAATTACAATTGAAATCTACTCTTTAATAATTCTCTTCTACAATTCTTTTCTACTCTTTTACAATTGAAATCTACTAAGTCATCAACTGATTAAAGGAAACAAAACCTAACACAAAATTGAAATTCCTACAAAGCAACACAAAGATTCAACTTCTACACTCTCAAGGAAATTGAAACTACCATTTCCAAAAGACAAGCAACTTTTAAAAATGTTGCTTATTGAAAAAAAACTTAGTATGTCATAAAACAATATCAACATACACTCACTTAACCATTTTGAAATTATCAAAACAAAATTAACGGGGACAACTTAATCCACAACATTGAAGAATTGAAAAGATATGAAGAAAATGCTAACAATGAAGAAATCAACAACTGGTACAAACAACAGAACATCTTACTAAATCATCAAAGCAAACTTTTGAATTGATTGGAAGAGCACCATATGCAAAGAAAAATTTTAAAAAGGATGAAGCATGAAAAAACTGCTTGCATAAAAAAAGAGCCTGGCGAATGAAAATTAGAAGCAACTCAAAACATAATGCATAGTTTTAAAGAAAAACCTTCTAAACTATGAATTTCAAAATTTGATGGTGCCATTACTTTTTTTTTAAACTTTATTTCAAGTTGATTTTTACAAAATAGTTTATGTTAACACTAAAACTAATTTAAATCAACACATTTAACTTTATACAGTACACACACATTTAAATGTCATATAAAAAAATTATAATTGTTTCATAAAAAAAAAAATGTCATGAAAATTTACAATTGTTTCAATTTAAAAAAAGAAATATTTATAACAATAAAATCTTAGCTAAAGATACAAGTCAGTATAAAATAAAACAAAATCTTAAAAATTACAAATTTTGCAAACGCAATTATTGCCATACCAACTCTTGATATATTTTTTGAACACTTTAAGACTTTTTTCGGACAGGGACTCATTCACGGCTGTTTCACTCAATATAAAAGCGAGCTTGACACAAGTAGTGTTTTTTTCCTATAAGCACCTTCATCTTCAAATAAAAAAAATATAAAAGACCTATCTTTTTTTTTTTTAAATAAATATTTACATTAAACAGAATAAAAATATTAATGTTTAAATATTGCTAACGATTTGGGATCACTTTTCTGTTTTTTGTGGTTTTTACGGAAAACCTGACTTGGGTCAACTAAAATTTCATAAGATAGCTACATGCCTCATGGTTGAAATTTGGAACATTTATAAATAAATGTCTATTCTATCTAATTTTTGGTGCAGATTGCTTATTTTTTATTTTATAACTATTTTTAAATGCATTTACATTTTTAATTTTATTATTAAATAATGAAAATCGTATTATTTTTGTAATCTGCACCAAATTATTGAAATTTCAACCCTTTCTGCATATAAAAATCAAAAAATTGTTTGTTGCACCTCTAGCTATGTTATGAAATATGTTTTCAAACTTGGCTAGTTTAGAAACAAATTTTTCTAGTTTAATGCGCAAAAACATTGTTTACATTTTAAAACATTCACGTGACCTTAAATTCTGTAGGTCCCAAGCAAATATGTAATAAAATTTATGAAAACAACTTTCTTAGCGAGACGAATTTTGAAGTATAAAATAAACAAAGTTAGCCGGTTTTTTCTTTAGAATGGTGCATAAATCTATTATCAACTTGGTGTTCAAAGATCGTTTTCTACTTAAAGAACTTATTAATTGATCAACTCATTATAAAAAGTTTTTTATGAGAATAAAAACACATCAAACAATATAAATTAGCTATTTGTATATTTAAAGAAACATTTTTTTATTTGTGAGAAAAGATTGATTCGAGTGCCATAAAATAATTTTATTACCAAAAACAAGGTTAATTCAAAAACTTTAACTCAGTTGTGGTCATGAATTATTTTATTAGAGTCTTTATTTATTAACAACCTAACACCATATTATTAAAACTGTATGCATAAAAAAGAATTGCTTAAGTTTTTTAAAGGCTTTTTTAAAACATTTTATTTTTGTTTTTATTCCTTTTACAAAACAAAATTATCTCAAATCTTTCAAAAGTTATAAATGTTTTAGTAACACTCTTTAGGTCAAAATTTTCAAAAAAAAAACAAGAAGCCGTAAAGCTCACTCTGAAACAGCCGTGCATTATTTAGAATGTTCCAGAGCAAGGTGGCTCTATATAACGTGAATCATCTATGGAGCCTTTAGGAGGTAGAAGGAGTTTTGCTATAACGGAGTTTATATGTAAGATTTTTTATAGTAAAAAAATTTTTCATAAAAATTGGATTAAACTAATATATTTAAAAGTTTCCATCATAAGAAATCTCAAATTTCTTAGGTGGATTCTAGAACTATTATCAAAGACTATACTTAGAGCTTTTTTATGAAATCAATTTATTTGTTTGTCATATTTTTTTGAACAAAACATCCAAACTAAAGGACAATAAGAAAAGTTAGACAAAATAAAAGAATTAAACAGCAAAATAGATTTATCACAGGATAAAAAATTTATGCATGAAAAAGCAAAAGGTTTACCTTTAGCTTTATTACATAACTGTTTAATGTGTTCCCCAAACTTTAGATCTTTATTAACTGTTATATCAAGTAGTAGGCAAAAACCCTTACATTACCTATTTTTAGCAATATATTTTTTGTGTTTTTTAAACCAACTAAACGAAATGGAACTTATCTTGGTTAGTAACAATCGAGTTTAATTGAAACCAATTGATGGTATTGGTTACTTCTTTTTGCAAACAAAAAATAACCTCCTCAAAGATATAATCACAAGGATAAATAGTGATATCATCAATAAAATTACATAGTTCCGTATCTTTAATAAATAAAAATAAATCATTTATAAAGATATTGAACAAAATAGATCCAAGGATTGACCAGCATAATGAAGTCAAACTTAACTGTATTATCTACAGCATTTGCAAAATCATTGCAGCCACGAACAAACAAAAATTCAATTCAACAAAATAAACAATTTCTCAAAAAAATCATCAATATTTTAACTAAATGTCAATAAAACACACAGTAATCAATTGTCAAAGTAAATATTCTTGCTACAATTGTAAAATAAGACATCATTTATTTAAGGACGTACGTACGTGGTAATAAAAACTAATCAAAAAAGGTATCTTTACAATTGAATTGGACAAATCATTTAATTGTTGTGGATATTAGTAAATATAAAGTGATAAGACTCTTGGACATGGGAGCTGGTAGTTTGTAGGCATTATCTACACAAATTAAGTACCTAAAATAAAAACCAATGAAATGTGAATCAAAAGAACAATGATTAGATCAGTCTATCAAAATAGCCAATTAATGATTGCTACAAAGAACTTTACAGCATGGATATACTTGGTCTAGAGGATCAAAGTGAAGGAAACCAAAGTGAAGTGTACAATGATTTTAAAAAAATAATTACAGCAAGACATGACCGGTTTTTAGTACATAGGGTTACCATCGAAAGAGTAGTGTCAGAAACTAAGCAACTAAGATGAGAGTACTGCAAGGATGGACAGCTTACTGAGAAAACTAGAAAAGAAACTGAACGATCTTAGCAAATATAATGTTATTATTTAAGAAAAAATCACTAATCAAACCAACTGGATAGAGGGTCTTTTACTTAACAACATTTAAGTTTAACTATTTACACAATTTTTAACAACTGTTGAAGTTTGAATATTTACAAGTATCAACAAGCAAATATTATAATAATAATGGCATGGATTTTAAAGATTCACAACCTCAGAAATAAAAAAAATGTTCAGGTGAGTTGTCATCAACTGAATGGGACAACGCCACACTGAAGTTGATCAAAATGCTTCAATGACTTTGAAAAAATAGAAAGAAAAAAAAAACTTCAGAAAGATTAAGATTATAGAAAAATCACAATAGATGGATTGTGTACAAGATAGATACCCAACACAATAGATGGGTTGTGTACAAGATAGATACCCAACAAAATAGATGGGTTGTGTACAAGATTGATACCCAACACAATAGATGGGTTGTGTACAAGATAGATACCCAACACAATAGGTGGGTTGTGTACAAGATAGATACCCAACACAATAGATGGGTTGTGTACAAGATAGATACCCAACACAATAGATGGGTTGTGTACAAGATAGATACCCAACACAATAGATGGCTTGTGTACAAGATAGATACCCAACACAATAGATGGGTTGTGTACAAGATTGATACCCAACACAATAGATGGGTTGTGTACAAGATAGATACCCAACACAATAGATGGCTTGTGTACAAGATAGATACCCAACACAATAGATGGGTTGTGTACAAGATAGATACCCAACACAATAGATGGGTTGTGTACAAGATAGATACCCAACACAATAGATGGGTTGTGTACAAGATGGATACCCAACACAATAGATGGGTTGTGTATAAGATAGATACCTAACACAATAGACAGGTAGCGTACAAGATAGATAACCAACACAATAGATTGGTTGTGTACAAGATCATCTAATATTTTTACGTTCCAAACATCCCTTACAGATTTGTTTATTCAAAGAGAAAATTAATAAACACATCACAGAATGACTGGCCTAACTATGTCAAAATTTTGAGAGTATTATTGTACGGATATCTAATGTAGGGAAGTCAAAATAATAAGAAACAATTGGAATTGGTGTAAAAGGTTCAGGTGCAAACAAAAGCTAGCTCCAATAACAACTGATTTGCCAAAGAATGGAACTAAAGGTTAATATCCTTTTGAAACTGTTGACTTAAGTTTTGCAGGTCCAATCAAACTTAAAGTAAGCAAACAGTGTTACAAAATCCTACATTGTACTTTATCCATGTACAACTTCAAGAGCAATCCACTTAGATCCTGTAAAAACAATGGAAAATAAAGATTTTCTTTGAAGCACAAATAGACACACCTGCAATTATAATAAGTGGCAGTGCTAAAACATTTATAAGTACTGCAAGATGGATCAGTCAATTGCAAAAATACTCAATGGTGAGTGAATATCTAAGTGAAAGAAATAAATTAAATTGAAGTTCAATTTAACAAGCAGTCCATGTTAAGAAGAATTCTTTGAAAAAATAGTAGGTTTAGTAAATAGATCATTACATAAAGCAACTGAAAGACTTCATTTGACTTTAGGAAAACATAAAGAAGTTTTAATTGATGTTGAAAATACACTAAACAACGATACATAAAATACATCTATAGTTATATTTAACTTTCTGTATCAACACCAAACATCATACTAAATGATAAAGATATTACTAAGCTATTAGAAAATACAGGCATCACGCAAGTAATAAAAATGAAACTCAGACTCCTGAGGAATATATAAAACATATCTCTCCATATTTACATAAGCACATATAAAGAGGAAATAAAAAATTATAATCCACAATAAATATATATATATATATATATATATATATATATATATATATATATATATATATATATATATATATATATATAAACCAAAAGAAGAGGCCAATAAGATAATAAAAATCACGGTCTTGTAAGATCCAATTAAAACTAAGTAGTGGATTAATGTAGGTGAAACTCCATCCTCAGGATAACAATTATGTTAGAAGTGCTTGATAAAAAAAAATTCACTTGACCAACCAATAAAAATATTTGACTATCAAATCTATGTGTCAATACTTTGCAATATGATTACTTCTGCAACTATTTAAACATTTTAACACTAATGTACTAACAATAATAAAACAACTTACCTTGAAATCTTGAAAACAAAGAACTAATGGAAGAGGAGGATGAATTACGCAATGTTTCTGAACTCATTATTTCCTCACTCCGCAATGCTGAACCTTTATAATCAAAGTAAAACAACTTTTAAATAATAAAATACTATTTAAGGTATCTTAAAATATAAAAACAAAGACGTTGATACAGAATTACTATAGTGCTTTGAATACATATGCAAGATTGAATGCAAAATTTAAATTTAAAAAAATGTGATTTAACCTTTTGCATTATGTGCAGTTTTTTTTATAGATTGGCACTTGAATAAAGTAGATTATTGACATTTGAATGAAATTTTATATTGCATTGGAAATATGTTTTTAGAGTACAATTGTGTTTATAAACTAAATTTAAAAAAACTTTGAAGTAACTCATCCAATATAAAATTAACTTTTTTTTTGATAGAGCTAAGGTTTTTCCCAAATTGAATTGTCTAATTCAAAATTTAATTTTTATGATGAAGAATCTTTTCAGAACTTGTATCAATAAATTTGTTGTGAACAGCTTTATATTTAGTGAGTTAAAAACTTCTTTTTAAACAACACTTCTATTCTATTTTTTAAACAAACATGTCAAAAAACACTTTACTTATATGATATAATATGATATAATAATATTAAATAGCTTTGAAATTTTTTTAAAAATAATCTGCTGTAAAATTTTTAAAACTGAAAAAACTCTTCACAATCTCAGTCATAGAAATTTAAATTTAAATTTGAAACAACTTGGTAATGTTTTAAGCCTCAACCATAATGCATTTCCTTGCAATCATTCTTTTTTTAGCGATTCAAGAGAAAAGACTATTTATGACCAGGCTTGGACAGGAATGCCACACTGTGGAAAATAAAGGTCTCTTTTGGATCAAAAATCAATAACTTTTTTGATACTTATGTGTTGAACTTAAACTACTTTACATTTTGCACAAATACAAAGTAGTATATGACGCTTCTAAGAACATTTTTTTTTATAAAAAACAAAATTTAAATATAAAATTTATAAACAAAAAATCAAAAACTTCAAAATGTTCATTTTTATTTTATTTTTAATTAAACATGTTCTTTTTAATTATATGAAAAACTTTTAAAGTATTCGAAATAGCATAAAATACATAAAATGCTTATTTAATTGAAAAATATATTTACATTAAATTCATATATATATATATATAAAACATTTATACAAGTTTTCGGCTTAACTCTAGACAAAAAACAAACACGTACTTTTTAAACTTTTTAACAAACATTTTCCTTATATTAGGTATAATTGCATCATAATTTAAATTTTTAATTGTTGCATGTAATTAATTAGTTTGCATATGTTTCAACATTTACATGAATATCTTCAAGAAATTATAAAATGCTTATAATAGAAATATTCAGAATATTTTATTAATAACAAATTTTTATAAAGTGAGTGTTTATGGAATAAATTATATAATCAACTTTTAAATGCTGCAAAGTATCTTCATCAAGTTCTTAGATATTTTTACTGTATAGTTTTTTAACGCGGTTTTCTAGGGATCAGAAGTACCAGCTTTAATAACTCACATAAATTTGGGAAGTTTCTGTAGTATATGTACGAAAACTTTCAGCACTTATCATAACACCTGAGGAAAGAGCTTGTAGCATATGTACCAAAACTTTCAGCACTTATCATAACACTTGAGGAGAGAGCTTGTAGCATATGTACCAAAACTTTCAGCACTTATCATAACACCTGAGGGGAGAGCTTGTAGCATATGTACCAAAACTTTCAGCACTTATCATAACACCTGAGGAGAGAGCTTGTAGCATATGTACCAAAACTTTCAGCACTTATCATAACACCTGAGGGGAGAGCTTGTAGCATATGTACCAAAACTTTTAGCACTTATGAAACACAAGCTATCCTGAGAAACTTGATAATTTTCTTTTAAAATTATTGAGTGTCTGAATTGACCTTCCTCCATCAATATAGTAACGTAACAGTTTACATTTCAAACACTTAAAAGTTGTCATTTTAAAAAGTAACGAAGTATTTAATTTCTATTGTAAATTTGTTGCAGTCATAAAAACTTTTCAATTATTTTGTAAATGATGCAGTGTTCAAAAATTGCTAATAACATTTTCACCACAAAATTCAAAAATAATATAATGCATGTCCATCAAAATTAATTCTCAATAAAAAAACTTACTTAAACTCTAAAATATCCATAACATGATGCTTTTAAAAATATATAACACTTTATACTTATTCATAAAAATTTTTATAGAAAATAACTTTTAAAGTGATGAAGCAAATTAGTTTTAATTGAGCATTTAAAAAATATGAAACAGTAGGGCTTCAAAAATTACCTTTTTACATAAAATTAGCTGAAATTCCTACATTATAGTAAAAATTAATTATTAAACTACTTTAAAAATATTAACTACTTAAAAATATTAAAGTGTAATTTCAGTAGTGAAAATGAAATTTGAGCAAAAAACATTTATAGTACGTTTTTGTAGTACTATTTTCCAGTGTGGCATGCAATAGTACACTGTAATTGACCATGCTTATGTTTTTTTTTTTTAGAATTTGACCATGGCTGTTTTAATGCTTTTATTATTTAAATGCAATAAAATATTTGTTATTTTATGAACAACTTTTAATCATTGATCTGTTCTAAAGTTGCAAAGACTTTAAATATAATAAAAAATTAATTACAATGATTGTTTAAAAATAACGCATTTTGTGTATAAATGTATAAGTAAAAAACTAGTATATTAGTCTAGCCTACTACACTACACTAATATACTAGTAAATTTAGTATATTAGTGTAGCCACAAACTACACTAATATACTAGCGTTTTTCAAAACTTCAACCTTTAGTATTGATATAACCTTAAGATATTTATGTTCTTGGGATGTTAACATTTTCACCTTTTTTTGGTAAGTCAGCAATTATTTTTTTTCAAATTAAAAAAGTTTTTGCATTACGTTTTAGATTTTTATCTATTATGCTAGTAATCCATAAATGGTATTTATTATGTGTAAAATATAAGGAAATAGAAAAATGGCTTGATACCACCTTAAGAATGCATATAGGAAGATTTTATAAAAATTATACAAGAATATAAAATAACTTTTTTCTACTTAAGCATGTATTTTGTTGATTAATTTTTTATTATTTATTTTATTTTAAAGTATCTTGTAATATTTTTTTTTTTACAACTTTTTAAAATCTATTTTTTGTTTTTTTACTTTTAATTACAATAAGTTCAAACTAGTTTAATTATTTTTTTAAAAAATGTTTTTTTTTATTGCTATTTTTAAAAAAAAAAAATTTTCTTTTTTATTTTTTGCAACTTTTTTGAAAAAATAATTTAAACAAGTTTAAACAATTTTAAAAAATTATAAGTAGCACTTTTAAATAATTTAAATAAAATTTATTCATTTATTAAACAATCATTAGAAGTAATTTTGCTAATTATTTAATTGTATAATTGTTTAGCGTAACTTTAATAAAACGTTTTAAAAGTATCTTTATTTTAAAGTAATTTATTTTAAATGCAATTAAAAATGTAACAAAAGTAATTTTTGCTTTCAGATTGACTTTTTGAGTTTTATTTTAGTGCTTGTATATTTTCTTTTTTGAAAGAATTTGTTTTCTTTTTTCTTTAGTATTCTTTTAACATTATTTTCTTCCTACTTAAATTTAGCTCAGCATTACATTTTTCAGCGCATTTCTGAATCATCAAAACATTTAAACAGTTGTGGTCAAATTTTCAAAAATAAAAAATCATTCACATTTTAAAAAATGTTAGCGTTCAATCGCACAGCATTCCTATCCAAGCTTAAATGACCAATATTTAAAAGCAGAATTCAAGGTATCAGCTTTTGATAACAAGAAATAAATTTGATAACTTTTAAGTTTCTTTACATATAAAATACTTTTAAAATGCAATGTGCTACTTTAAAACCGAAAGTATAAAATAAATTGTTTTTTTTTTAAATAATTTTCATAATTTTGCTTCTTTTAAGTAGGGGTGTACCAATGCATCGGCCTTGGCATCAGTCTTGGTAACCATTGGCTAGTGCCAGTTGTTTAAAAAAGTCAGTTTTCTATATGTTATAAAATAATTTAATAATTATATTTTTTTTATACAATATAGAAACACAAAATTGACAAGACTCATTTTTCAAAACAATCGGCATCAGCCTTGGTAACCAACCAGTTATTGGTGTGTATATATATATATATATATATATATATATATATATACATATATATATATATATATATATATATATATATATATATATATATATATATATATATATATATATATATATATATATATATATATATATATATATATATATATATATATATATATATATATATATATATATATATATATATATATATATATATATATATATATATATATATATATATATATATATATATATATATATATATTCATTTAAACACACGAAATATTATATTTTTATTTATCAATTCATTGTTTGTTTATAAGCTATTTAAAGTCGACACAGTTTATTTTGTTACAATGGAAAAAAACTGAATATTGTGCAGTGATAAAACTCTTTATTTTGAAAGGTTTACTACAACAGAAATTCTTTTAAATGGGTTAAAGTGTTGAAGAAATCAGCTCCAATATTTCTAAATGTGCAACGATGGGTTTTAGATTTTAAATGCCATTTAAGCGTTGAAGATAGATAACATAGTGGATGTCTTAAAAGTGGAACAACACCAGAAATTGTTTGTAAAGATCAAAGTTTGACTATGTATGAACTGCTGATACCATAGGCATCTCAGATAAACGAGTTATTACAGAATTACTGCTGATACCATTGGCATCTCAGATAAACAAGTACTCCATAACTTGTATAAAGAATTACATTTAAAAAAGCTGTTCAAAAAGTTAGTGCTGCATTTGTTAACAATTCAACAAAAACAAAAAATCAAAAAGAAATTTCTCAGAGCGTTATAAGTAGAATAAAACTGATTTTTTGCGCTGTTTTATAATTATGGATCTACCATTATGATCCAAAACTAAAACAAAAAGATTTTACAGTGGATTGAAGCTGATTCTTCAGCTCCAAAACAGGTAAAGTATATATATATATATATATATATATATATATATATATATATATATATATATATATATATATATATATATATATATATATATATATATATATATATAGCAGATTGATCCTGATTGGTTTACGTCACTTTTACGCCACGTGATACTCTAAAAACTTAAAGTTTTGTTTCCATGGAAACATTAGAACTCACACCACCGTAATTTTAATTGTAATTTTAACGTCTATTTTAAATTTTGTAATATATGGCTGATGATCGCCGTTAGGCATGAAACTTAAAGTTCCATAAAAAAAGTTTTTTCTTTTTTCGTTTTTAATTATAAACCGCTCTGTTATGAAATTTATATATAATCAAAATAAATTTCTTAAATATTGAGCACTTTTCAACGAACAAGAGTTGTGTATTATTTTAATACAACACTACATAAAACTATATATATATATATATATGCAACTCTGAGTTTCATGTGTTACCACAATCATTAGGCAAGTAGTAAAAGTAAAAGTAGACATTACGGTTTATATTTGTATTATGGATCGCCATGGGACAAAAATTGATTAGTAGTTAGGTTAATAACATTATTAATTTGTTTTTAGTTAGCTAATAGTTGTGAAATAGTTATGTTTAATATTGTTTAAGATAATTGTTTATGTGATAATGTGCATTATTTATGTATTAAAAAAATTAAAGTTAAAATTGATATAAAAATATAAATAATATTATGAACTATATTACAATAGCTGTGTATGTGAGTAATTTATTAGTTAGCTTAGAGATATATGGAGTAGATTAATATAGTTATTTTTAGTTGTTATTTAG